GAAGACCATGGTAATATAATAAAAGGGTATTAAATGATGGATACAAGAATAGATATTCTTCAGTGATGAATGGACGTAAGTTCACTTTTGGACCTTTATCACCTAAAGCTATTTTTGAAGACCAAATGTGCATTCGGTAGCAATATCGGGAACTATCTAGCAAAAATGATCGTTTGGGGAGTGTAAATGAACAAGAGAGAAAAAAAAAGATGAGCCGAGTGAAGTGAGAGAAAATAGGAAACACAAGGGGAAAACCAAAAAAGATAGCAAGAATGTTAAACACATGAGCTTTTATTTAAATGAAAGAGAGGTTAAGAGAGCTTTAGCTTGTAGGCGACCTTTACTTATACTTATGTACAAGAAAATTTTGCTTAACACTAACGACCTTAACAATTCTTTGCTTAGTGTTGTGTTTGATCTTTTACGGAATTATAATGATTTATTTCCGAAGAGGTTCCAAATGGCTTACCACTTCTAAGAGAAATTGAGCATCAAATAGATTTCATTTCGGAAGCAACCATACCAAATAGACCAGCCTATAGATGTAATCTAGAGGAAACTAAGGAGATTCAAAAGCAAGTAAGTGAGCTTATGGAGAAGGGGTATGTACGTGAGAGCATGAGTTTATATGTGGTTCTTGTTTTGCTAGTACCTAAGAAGGATGGGTCATGAAGGGTGTGTGTTGATTGCCAAGTCATCAACAAAATCATTATAAAGTATAGACACCTTATTCCTAGGTTAGATGATATGTTAGATGAATTGCATGGTTCATATGTGTTTTCAAAAATTGATTTGAAATCCGGCTATCATCAAATTAGGATGAGAGAGGAAGATGAGTGAAAAACTTCATTCAAAACTAAACAAGGTTTGTATGAGTGGTTAGTCATGCCTTTTGGTTTAACTAAAGCACCTAATACATTCATGAGGTTAATGAATCATGTTTTACATGTATTCATCGGCAAATTTGTTATAGTTTATTTTGATGATATATATACTCGGTATATAACAAGAATTTGGATGAACACATAACACATTTGAGGGCTGTTTTTGGTGTACTTAGGAAGGAAAAGTTATATGCTGATTTGAAGAAATGCACCTTTTATACTACTGAAATTACTTTTCTTGGTTATGTAGTGAATGACAAGGGTATACATGTTGATCAAGAGAAAGTAAAAGTAATTAGAGAATGGCCTACACCTACTGCGTTAGCGATGTAAGGAGTTTTCATGGATTAGCTAGCTTTTATAGGAGATTCATTAAGAATTTTTCAACAATTGATGCACCAATAACTAAATGCATAAAAAAGAATGTGGGATTTAGGTGGAAAAAGAACAAGAGAATGCTTTTAACTTACTTAAAGACAAACTTAGTTCTGCACCTTTGCTTGCTTTACCTAACTTTGCTAAAACTTTTGAGATTGAGTGTGATGCAAGTGGCATAGGTATTGGGGGAGTTTTGATGCAAGAAGGAAGTCCCATTGCATTCTTTAGCGAGAAGCTAAATGGAGCATGTCTAAATTACCTAACTTATGATAAAGAGTTCTATGCTTTAGTGAGAGTTTTGGAGACATGGCAATACTACCTTTGGTATAAGGAGTTTATAATCCACACCAATCATGAATCCTTAAAGTATCTCAAGGGGCAAAGAAAGCCAAGCCGTATACATGCTAAATGGTTAGAATCATTGAATCCTTTCCATACATCATCAAGTACAAGTAAGGTAAAGAAAATGTGGTAGCTCGATGCTTTATCATCAAGGTATACTTTAATCTCACAACTTGATGCAAGAATGATGGGGTTTGAATTCATTAAAAATGTTTATGCTTCGACCTTGATTTTGTCACTATATATGATGCATATGAGAAAGGAGGTGTGGATATGTTTTATAGGCATGAAGGATTCTTGTTTAGAAAAAAAAACTTTGTGTGCCATAATGTTCTTTAAGAGAATTATTAGTGAAAGAGGTACATAGTGGGAGACTTATAAGGCATTTTGGTGTGAAAAAACTTTAGACATTCTAGATGAACATTTCTTTTGGCCTCACATGAGAAGGGATGTAGAGAGATTATGTGAGAGATGCTTAACTTATAGACAAGCTAAGTCTAAGGTAATGCCTCATGGGCTATATACACCACTTCCTATTCCTAGTGAACCTTGCGTAGATATATCAATGGACTTTGTTTTGGGTTTACTTAGGTCTAAAAGTGGCAAAGATTCTATTTTTGTTGTTGTTAATAGGTTTAGCAAAATAGTGCATTTCATATCATGTCAAAAGACCAATGATGTAACACACATAATAGGATTGTTTTTCAAGGAGATCTCGATGTTGCATGGCATTCCAAGAACAATTGTGAGTGATAGGGATGTCGCATTCTTGAGTCATTTCTATAAGACTCTTTGGGGAAAGATAGGAACCAAACTCTTATTCTCAACCACTTCTTATCCATAAATCGATGGGTAAACTAAAGTGGTGAATTGGACTTTGTCCACACTTTTAAGGGCAATGATCTAAAAAAAATTAAAGAATTGAGAGGAATGCCTACCTCATGTGGAGTTCGTATACAATATAATAGTGCATACTACAACTGAACATACACCTTTTGAGGTGGTATATGGCTTCAATCCACTCATACCAATGGATTTATTGCTTTTACCAATTGATGAAAGGGCTAGCCTTAATGGAAAAAGAAGGTCGAAGCTATAAAAGCTTTACACGAAAAGATGAAGTTGCAAATTGAAAAGAAAACACAACAATATGCTACTACACACAACAAGGGGAGAAAGAAGATGTTATTTGAACTAGGTGATTGGGTTTGGTTTCACCTAAGGAAAGAAAGATTCCTAGCTAAAGGAAGTCAAAACTCATCCCTCGAGGAGATGGACCATTCTAAGTGCTTGAACGCATCAATGACAATGCCTACAAACTTAAGTTGCCAAGTGAGTATGGTAATGTATCTCCTATTTTTAATGTGTCTAATTTATCCTTTTTTGATGTAGGTGATGATTCAAGGATGAATCTCATTAAAGAAAGGTGCAATGATGGATATCAAGGTGGTTTAGCAAGGCAAAATGACCCATTGACCAATTTTGGAAGACCCATGGCTTGGGCTAGGGCTAAGAAGGTCAAAGAAGCTTTTTCAAGCTTCGTATAAGTCATTGGCTCAAGGGTAGTTCATGAAAAAGCATTTATGGTTCATGATGGTCCAGCTATGGTCAACATGGTTCAAGCCATTACCAAATAAGTTAAAGCAACATGAAAATAAAAGGCTTAAAAGAATTCAGCCTTGTTTTGAACTTGTTGGGTCTTATTTATTTGGAACTTCTTTTATTTTATTTTGTTGAGTCTTATTTCATTGGGTCTTATTTGTTTAGGCCTATTTTTGTTTTAGCTTGTTATGCTTACATTAGACTAGTTTCAATAATATTTGAAGTTAGGCCCAAATAAGCTATAAGTTTTGGGTTTAGATTCAAGCCTTCTTTATTATGTTCTAATTTATCTTCTTATTTGTGTTAATTTAGGTAATCCGATTAAGGAATGGGTGGTCGTGCTTAATTATAGCATTCAATGTTCCTTATAATGGTGGAGGTTATGCTCATTATGGTGGAATTATTACCTAATTGCATTATCATGGCAAGAGTCGGATACATAAGGGAGGTTATAAAAAGAGGAATTTGGTTGTCATAACGATAAAGAGGTTACATAAAGGAGGCTACAAAAGAGGCATTATTGGTATTATTTATGAATTGTATTTTCCTTTATTCTAAAATTACCCTTGGCCTTTCACTATATAAAGGCAAGGCTTTATCATTTGTGGGGAGAATATTCAAAATATAATTTATATATCTTTCTCTAGTGAGAATTGTTTTTTTAAGCTTTTGTTTGGCACTTTAGAACTTATCAAACTTTTATTTGTGGTGTTCAAAATCCCAAACACCTAATAGCTATAGTCTTTATCTCATTATAGATAAAAGGTTATAGTTCTTATTCTTAAGGTCTTTAGCTCAATATAGCTAAAAGGTTTTAGGATTATTTTCTTTGTTTTCTCGAATCTTGATTGATAGATCCTAAACATAAAGGAAGGGTTTTTGAGTTATTTAATCTTCATCTCTATTCGATCAATATATCCATTGGGTTTGGAGTTGCAAATTCAAAGGTCCTAATTCTAATTTCATATCACCTAAAAATTTATTTTAAAAATGTTTGAAGTCGTATATTGGAGAGTGCTCTTTAACCATATTCCGAAAGAAATTAATCTAAAAATGTGCAAAATTAATATGAAAATAAATTAATCTGAAATTTTTTGAAAATTAATCCGAAAACATCCTTATGGTTGAACCTAAAAATAAAGAAAAAGAAAAAGAAAAGTTATATAAATCGAATTAGGAGATAAATTCTAGCTACCACCTAAGCATAAAGGGAGATCCGAGTAGATCACGGAACAAAGGGATTCGAAGAAAATGACTTAACAAATAATTGAGCAATCTACTTGTTCTAGAAAGAAAAGGTTCCACACGAGCTTTCGTTCGCGACGTGATGGCAGGATCGATAGGAAATTGGCTCCGGGAATAGATTCTTTTGTGATTTTCATTTTTATTATACATTAGTACTTCTCCTTTCTAAGTTTGAACCCTAAAGATCAAGGTGAAAAATCACCCTCCTACCAAAAGAGTCAACTCTTTCCTGTTTATATTGATAATCGAACGTGCGTGCTATACGTAATAGTTTATGAAACTCGTATTCTCGTTTTAAGAGAATTCGAAGTTCATTTTGAGGCTACCAAAAAATAAAAAATCAATAAATAACAATGCGTAAAAAAAGAAAGAACTAAAGAAAAAGAGAAGTGGATTGGCTTTTTGTGAAGCAACATCTATAAGAAAATAATGTCAACAAATCACACTCGCCATGCCAATATTATATGGCAATATGTTTTGTGAACTTTTATCGCTTAAACTAAACCTAGATCTAATATCGAAAAAAGAAAAAAAAAGAAAGAAAAAAAAATGGCAGATGGTGATGAGTTCAAGAAGCTCTATATGTCCTCTCTTTTGAAAAAATAAAAAGAAGTGAAAAGAAAATATCTCAAAAGTCGACTAACCTTCCATGAAAGGTAAGGCTCTTTGCATCCTCGTCTCATTTGGCTTCAAAGTCATGATTCGTTGCTCGATGGATCTCCGAATCGTCGCCTACTCAACTTTCCGGACTACAAAACCTCTCAATCGGCTAATAAACCCATAGATGGTGTCAAAACCATCGATTTCACTATTGACGAAACCAACAACCTTTGGTCCCGCCTTTACACTCCCGTCTACTATCGACAGTCATCATCTCCGTAAACTACGAGTCGGCTCCCGAGCATAGGTGTCCATGCCAATACGAAGATGGTTTTGATGTAATAAAATTCATTGATAAGGCGAGCTTGAAGGCCTTCCAAGCTATGCCAATCTCAAGCACAATTTTGTTCCCGGAGACAATACGAGTGGCAATTTAGCTCATCATATGGCATTAAAGGCTATCGAATGTGAATTTTCCTTTATAAAAATCATTGGAGTTATAGCCATACAACCATTCTTTGGAGGAGAACAAGCAGACATGATCTAAAATGAAGCTTTCTTGAGATCCTTTTGTTCCTATGGATACTACAGATTGGTCGTGGAGATCGTTTCTATCGGAGGGTTCGAATCGGGACCATAAAGTGTCAAATGTTTTTGGGTCTAACTCCGTTGACATTTTAGAGCTCAAGTTCCGTCGAGTAATTGTTATGATTGGGGGATTGGATCCTTTACAAGACTAGCAAAAGAGGTACTATGTTAAAATTGATAGATGAGAGATGAGAGAACGAATAAAGGAATTCTCATTGATGATTAAAAAACAATCACTCCTTTTTTATTCCGGTATCACACACTCTCTCTCTATATATATACACATTGTTACTACATTCTAGAATTTATTTACAAAAGAAAATTCTATAACTAATTTCTAATAGTTGTTTTCTTTATGTGCCAATCATTGTGTTGTAGGTAAAGGGAATCTCCTACTTCTTCGGATTAGCTGGCAAATAGAAAAGGCTTGGATGCTCGACTTCAGTGTTGCGGGCGTGATCGAAGCATTGTAACAAACACCCGATGGGCAAGGTTTGTTACAACCGATTCTCCTTCTAATTATTCCCATAAGGTTATCATGCATTTCACCATGCATATTCCCCAAGTATATACCATCCTCCATACTATATTTACATGTTTTAACACTCCCCCTCGAGTTTGAGATTAGTAAAGATGTTTTTAATCCCAAACTTGCTTAGTAAATGTTTGTGTTGTCCGTCGCCTAGTCCCTTTGTGAGTAAGTCGGCTGGTTGTTCTTCGATAGATACATGTTATGTGACTATTACACCTTAGTTTAGTCGCTCCCTTACTAAATGACGAGTCTAGGTCTATATGCTTTGTTCTTTCATGAAAAAATGGATTGCTAGTCTGTGAACAAGATCGATTTATTATCACAATAGAGTGTTGCTAGCTTTATGTTCTCTTCTTTTAAATCCGTAAACAATCTAATTATCCACATGACCTCACATACTCGCATTTGCCATTGCCTTATATTCGATTCAGTCGATGATCTAGAAATGGTACTCTATTTTTTACTCTTCCATGATATTATAGGCTTCCCCAATTTGATAAGGAATCTTGAGACCGATTTCCTTGTCATGCAACATGATCCTCAATCCGAATCACGAGTACACTTCTAACTTCAATTGACTTGTAGAGGACATTAGTAACCCTACACCTGGATCTCCTTTTAGGTACCTTAGATACCCGTGAGTCGTTGCCAAATGTGATCGCTTCGACCTATGCATGAACCGACTTAGGAGTTGAACGCTATAAGAGATGTCCGGCTCGGTCATTGTCACATAAATAAGCTTCCTTATGAGCCTTTGGTAGCTCGTAGGGTCCGATATTTCTTAGTCCCTCATGTTCTTCTTGGTTCCTTCATCAAAATCTAATGTAGTAAGCTTCAAATACTGCTCTACATGTGTGTCTAGGGGTCTTGCATTTGTTATTCTAGTTTCTTCAAATAGCTCCGAATATATTTTCTCTGTGTCAAACAAATTCCTTCCTTAGACCTTGCTATCTCTATCCCTAAGAAATACCTTAGGTCACCAAGATCTTTTATGTGAAATTTCCTATGCAAAAAACTCTTTAGTAGTCGTTATTTCTTCCTCATCATTTCCTGTAATGATTATGTCATCTATGTACATAAGTAAGATGACTATTTTCTCACCATTCTTCTTCACAAAGAGTGAATAATCATTCAAGGATTGATTGAATCCAGCTTGTATCATAGCTTCACAAAACTTTATATTCCATTGTTTACTTGTCTGTTTTAAACCATATAATGATTTCAATAATTTGCAAACTTTCTCGCTCCTCCTTAATCTCAAACCCCTATGGAATTATCATGTAAACTTCTTCATTCAAGTGTCCTTGTAGAAATGCATTAGTTACATCCATTTGCATTAGTTTCCATCCTTTCACAACGGATACAGACCAGTACGAGACCTCACTATCACCATTTTTGCAACTAGTGAAAAAGTCTATTTGTAGTCAATTCCTTCATTTTAAGTGTATCCCTTAGCAACTAGCCTTGCTTTAGACCTCTCAATGCTTGCCATCTAAATTACATTTCACCTTATAAACCCATTTGCACCCTATTGGTTTCTTTCCTTTTGGCAATGCCATCGAACCCAAGTCTTATTTAGTATCGGTGCTCGTATTTCTTTTTGCATAGCTTCAATCCATCTAGGGTCTAATTTTACCTTATGATAGCTGGTGGGTTCTCGTAACATTGGCTAGGGTTGAAATAAATGCTTTGTAGGATAGTTTCAAGTATTCATAAGTGATGTAATTTGTGATAGGGTAGTTGATTGCTCGTCTAGTGTTGATCGAAGTCGCTTTAAGAGATTGTAGGACATTCATAATCACCGACCGGATTGGTGGTGGGATTATCCTAGTTGATCTTCTAAGGTTTACTACATGCTGCGATTGATGTTTAGGTGGAGAAGATGAGTAGACTTGTGTGTGTGTGTGTGTTTGGGGTAGACCGAATCGAAGTGTTATATGGACTAACTTGAGTGACATAAGAATGTACAACGAGAGGGTTTGAGATTGGAACCGACTCATCAAACAGACAAATCATTGGATTGATTTTGATTTGGAGTTGAATTTGTTAGCTTTAATTCAAAAGGAAACATATTCTCACAAAACAGAATGTCTCTAGACACAAAAACTTCTTGGATTCTATGTCATAAACCTTATAACCTCGATTGACCAAAGGAATATCCAACAAAGACACAAGGTTTTGATCTTGGGCTAAATTTGTCAAGATTATTTAAGGTTTTGACATCGCAAAGGGTTCCAAAAACTCTTAGGTGATCAATTCTAGGAGTTTTGCCAAAAATCATTTCATAAGGGGTTTTGTAATTCAAAAGTGGAGTAGGAATTTTGTTTATCAAGTATGTAGTCGTTAATATGCAATCTCCCAAAAACTCTATTGGCGCATTTGATTGAAACATAAGGGATCTAGCAACATTAAGAATGTGTTTATATTTTCTCTCTACCCTTCCATTTTGTTGTGGTGTATATGGTATGGTGCTTTCATGAATGACTCCTTATTCTTCCAAAAATGACTTGCATTCATGATTTAAAAAATCTCTTGCTCTATCTCGTTCGATTCTTTTAATGGTTTTACCAAATTGTGTTTTGATGAGATAAATTTTTTTTCGAAAGTGGTATTTGCATCACTCTTATAGTTTAATAAAAATGTTCATGTTCCTCTTGAATAATCATCTATTATTGTAAGGAAGTATCTTATCCCATTGTGTGTAGGTGTTCTATATGGTTCCCTAAATGTCAAGATCTATTAGTTCAAATATGTGTTTAGTTTTGGTTTGTGTTTTGCGAAAAGGTAATCTGGTTAACTTTGCTAGTAAGCATACGGAACATTGGTTTTCTTCATCCTTACATATATCTTTCAATGGTGGTAAAAGTTTGAGTCTTAAGTTGCTAGCATGTCTAAATCTCATGTACTAAAGATTGCATTTTATTGATTTAGAAATTACATTACAACTTGATTGAAGAACTACATCACTCGATGAACTTAGAAACCGACATGACATGAGAGTACGAATTTTAAGAATTTGTGTGTTGATGAGACTTGAGAACTTGTGGTGAATGAGCATGTGATAGTGTTTCTTTCTTGAGATAGTATAATCCATTGTGCATCCTACCAATCCCCTTTATTAACCCGATCTTTAGGTCCCGAAATAAGCAAAAATCAAGGTAAAATGCTACAAAGCATTTATTATCTTTGGTGCATTTCGAAATGGACAATAGGTTGAACTTGAAATCTGGTATGTGTAACACATTTTTCGGTTTAAATGTAGAAGATAAGGATATGATGCTTATGTGTGTTACTTGGGATGATTTACCATTTGGCAATTGGACTTCTAGATGATTTGAAGTAATGTTAGAAATTATTACATTATCATCTACTTCACAAGACATGTGCTCATTTGCCCCATTATCAATCACCCAATCATTTTTCAAATCAATATTCATTCTGTTTGCACAACAAGTAAGGGTACTTACAATATTAGTTGAAGGTTGGTTTGAGGATGATCCTTTTCCACGAGTCTAAATCGTCCCAAGCAGTTGTATGATTTGATTGTATTGTTGCTGTGTGAAGGTTGATGCATTTCCCACTTTCTAGCCTCCTTGTTCTTCTTTTTTGAGATCAAATCAGCGGACTCGCCCCTCCATTACTAGATTAATTTGCATGATAACTTCTTCCTCCATTGCCACGACCATATGGCCTTCTTCCTCCTATTCCGAACCTCATCTAGGTGTGCTTGGATAGCCCACCAATTTGTAGCAATCCTTCTTTAAGTGTCCTGTCATGTGACGAGTAATCACAAACAATAACATCCTTCCCGCTCATATTCACTCGTTTTGAAGTGATTATTCAAGTAGAAGCTTGCTAGAGAGTCACCGACTTAAATATCGTTGGATAGGTTCCTTTGAGATTCTTCACTCGCTCACTATGAAAAAAGCTTGGGTATGTGTAGGTAATGATATCATCATAAGTATTTGTGACCTTACATTGGCATAACTCTCATTCAAACCAATTAGGAACTGTAACATTTTGAGGTGTTGTGTGTGTTATAGGTATAGTTTTGAATTTGGGTAGTCACGGAGTTGGAAATGTTACTAAAGTCTCAAATTCATCCCATAGCTTCCGAAGCTTGCAATAATAAGTTGATATAGAGAGGGTACCTTGCATTATGTGAGAGATTTCTCTGTGAATGGCAAATATCCGAGGGCCGCCGATCTTATCGAATCTGTCTTTAAGATCCTTCCAAACCATTGTTGCGGACTTGTAATAGACCATAGCATTGTATATTTCTTGTGACACGGTGTTCAATAGCCAAGCAAAGATTATGGCATTGCATCTAACCTAGTGTGAGTATAGAGGAGATGTAGGTTCTGATTTTTCACGGAGTTCTATCAATAAAACCATATTTGTTTTTTGCTTCAAGAGAAATCTTCATTGCTCGTAGACCACACACCATAGTTCTCTATGCCTTTAAGTTCCAATTCTTTTGGAACTAACACCGCATTTGGTGTATTAGAAGCATGAATGTGAAAGGAGTTTGTGAAATCAATGACCGGTGCATTGTTTGTTGTGGTGATTTCTTCAATATTCATGTTTAAAAAAAAATGCAAGGTTTCGGTAGAAAATGTTAGGCTATGATACCATGTTAAAATTAATAGATGAGAGATGAGAGAACGAATAAAGGAATTCTCATTGATGATTAAAAAATAGTCACTCCTTTTTTATTCCGGTATCACTCTCTCTCTATATATACATTGTTACTACATTTTAGAATTTATTTACAAAAGAAAATTCTATAACTAATTTCTAATAGTTGTTTTCTTTGTGTGCCAATCATTGTGTTGTAGGTTTGCAGGTAAAGGGAATCTCCTGCTTCTTCGGATTAGTCGGCAAATAGAAAAGGCTTGGATGGTCCGACTTCCAATGTTGCAGGCGTGATCGAAGCATTGTAACAAACACCCGGTGGGCAAGGTTTGTTACAACCGATTCTCCTTCTAATTATTCCCGTAAGGTTACTATGCATTTCACCATGCATATTACCGCATTTACATGTTTTAACACTACGAGGGACTTAAGAAATGTGGAAAAGAAATGCATTTAGTTGAGCATGAGAAGGCATTCCATTCCTTTTATCTTTTTCCCGGGATGCCCGAGTTTTATTTGTTTATCGAGGAAGCGAAAGAATTTATGCAAACAAAAATCTCCACTTGAAAAAAATAACTCGGGACGTTGTTTCTCTTTCTTTATGTCTTTTCGGGCGTTTATGTTAAATTAGATTTTTTTTTTAATAAGGTAATATTGTGACATGTTCATTGTGAAATTGTTAGGAGTGCAATCTCTTACTAGTCATCCTGTCTTTTATCAATTTGCATAATAAGAAAATGAAAAGAGGTGATTGTAACAGCTTATTTTATCTTTTTTTTTAATATAAATTTATTCATTATTATGTCATATTAATATATACATTTTTAAGATATATTTTTTAAAAATTGCATTTGGATCATCTTTTATAAAATGAATTTTAATTAAGAATATTTTAAAAAAATACACAACTCAAAATTTTAAATAGATAAATATTTTGAAACATATATATATATATATATATATATATATATATATATATATATATATGAAATGGAAGAAACAATGATTAAGAAAATATTTTTAATAGTCAATCTTTAACAATTAAGGTGTTATGAAAAATAAAGTGGCAAGAATGAAAATAGAAATTTTATTCTCACCTTATAGTCGTTAGGTTATTTAGTTAAAAAGAATGAAATAAAATAAGAATAAAAATTAAATATAGTTTGATTTTTATGTAGTAGGTGGAAATAAAAATAATGAACGAGAATAAATTTTTTTTCAAAAAAATGAAATGTTATTTTTATTTATTGTGTATCAATTACTTTTATGACCACCACCACAATCATTACTACCGTCGCCATCGCCACCACCTAGTATCTCTATTAACGGTGGTTATAAATTTTTTTTAAAAAAAGCTATTATTATTATTTTGCTACCACTTTTCTTCAACCATCATTATTATTTTTATTATAGCACAATCACAATCATAATCATTATTGACGAGTGATGATAAAAAGAAATTATTATTATTTTATCATCACTTCTCCTCTACCACCAATATCATTTTTATTATATCACAATTACAATTCTTTCTCCACTACTACTTCATCCTCATCTTGCTCTACCACAACTATTATAAACACTACCACAATTATATCTATCATTTTTATTGTGATCAGAATCGATGAAATTATTTTTTTAATTGCTATTTTTATTTGTATTAAAAACCAAATATATATAAAAAATAATTTTCATTCTGTTTTTAATTATTATTCTAAATATAATATGAAAATATAAATATCATTTTGATTTTTTTAATTTTTATTGTGAGTTTGTATTTTCGTTCCAATTTTTTTATTTTTTTACAACCAAACGAAATCTAAAATTTGTAAGGAGTTCTAATTTCACTTGAAGTTATAGTTGATTGCATTTGATATCTATGTAACAGAAAGAGTAAAATAGACGCATTGAGAGAAAATGCTTATGAAAGCTGATAGTAGGATCTCTAACCAGTCTAAGAGTTCTAGAAATGTCAATTGGGACAAATTATGTACATGATGCATCGATAAAAATGTCTTGGCCTTTCGTAATTGTCCGAGAAAACAATACAATTAATGATAATATTAATAGAGTATTTTAAATATAATTGAATATTGTCCTTAGTTTACTTATCTCAGGGATTTTTCCTTTCCCGACCTCTGATTCTAAAAACAAAATCCACATTTCTTCTTTTACTTTTACGGCATAGATACCAATCGATTGATTAGTAATTGATAAATACTCTCTGATTCTTAAAATAATAATAATAATTAATTAATTAAACACACAAATCTTGAGATGAGTTTTCTGTCTCTTTATGTTCATGCCTTTTGATTTATCAAGAAAAAAAAAAAGTATTACTCAGAGCTTTAGAAGGAATTAAAGAAAAAGACTGATTAGCCCATAGTAAAGCCAACGTGCAGAAAGAAACAAAAGCAATCTCGCCGAACCAAAACGACAACATTATTAAATATGTACTTTCAGTTACAACAGAACTGAGTAAATTATAAGATTAGTACTTTTTGTTTAGAAAAATAAATTAATTAGTTTTTAATTTTTTTGTTATTTTTAATTTAATTTATTTTTTTAAGAAATAGAGAAGAAAAAAAGTAAAAATTATGAAAATATTTTTGAGAAGATGATATATATATTACTCAAAGCTTTAGAAAAGAATTAAAGAAAAAGACTGACTAGTCCATGGTAAAGCCAACTTGGGGAAAGAAACGAAAACAATCTCGCCAAAACAAAACGACAACATTATTAAATATGTATGACCTTTCAGTTACAACACAATTGGGTAAATTATAAAATTAGTCCTTCGTGTTTTGAGAAACAAATTAATTAATTTTTTTAATTTTTAAATTTAATAATTTAATTTTTTTAAAATTTTTTAAAAAATAAAAAAATAAATAAAAATTATGAAAATATTTATAAAAAGATGATACTTTTTATAAAATAAAAAATATTAAATTAATCGTAATTATTACTATTAAAATAATTAAATAATTAAATTTTTAAAATAGAAGAATTAATTAATTCATTTATTGAAACAAGAGGGGTTAATTTATAATTTATTCTAACAGAACTAGATCTCTGTGAGAGAGAGAGAGAGAGAGAGAGAAGCCAGACGGCGAAGAGTTCAAGGAGCTCTATTTCCTCTCTTGAAAAAAATAAAAGCAAATAAGAAAAGCTCTATGCTAAAACACGGAAGCTTTGTCTCCTTTCTATCAACTTATTAATTTATATTGGTAGCAGAGCTTCTCTTAACAAGGAGGGTGGAAAAAAAATGTCTCAACAGTCAGCTAACCTCCCATGGAAGGTCAAGCTCTTTGGACCCGTCATCTCCTTCGGCTTAAAAGTCATTCGTCGCTCTGATGGATCTGTGAACCGCCGCTTACTCAACTTGCTCGACCGCAAAACCTCTCCATCGCCTAACAAGCCCATAAAATGCGTAATAACCACGGATGTTGCCGTTGACGAAACCCGCAACCTTTGGTTCCGCCTTTACACACCCGTCTCCAGGACCTCAACCTCCGATGATGATATTGCCATCCCTATCGTTTTCTACTTCCACGGCGGCGGGTTTACTTACATGGCAGCCAATTCGAAGCCGTATGATGATTTATGCTACAGCCTTGCGCGCCTACTACCAGCTGTCATCGTCTCTGTCAACTACAGGCTGGCTCCTGAGCATAGGTATCCGTGCCAATACGATGATTGTTTTGATGTAATAAAATTCATTGATAAGGCAGAGCTTGAAGGCCTTCCAAGCTATGCCAATCTCAAGCACAGTTTTGTTGCTGGAGACAGTGCAGGTGGCAATTTAGCTCATCATATGGCACTAAAGGCTAGCGAATGTGAATTTTCCAATATAAAAATCATTGGAGTTATAGCCTTACAGCCATTCTTTGGAGGAGAAGAGCGGACAGGATCTGAAATCAAACTTTCTAGAGATCCATTTGTTTCAATGGATCATACAGACTGGATGTGGAAGTCGTTTCTGCCAGAGGGTTCGAATCGGGACCATAAAGTGTCGAATGTTTTTGGGCCTAACTCTGTTGACATTTCAGAGGTTAAGTTCCCTGCAGTAATTGTTATGATTGGGGGATTGGATCCTTTACAAGACTGGCAAAAGAGGTACTGTGAGGGACTGAAGAAATGTGGTAAAGAAGTGCATCTAGTTGAGTATGAGAAGGCATTCCATTCATTTTATCTTTTTCTTGAGATGCCTGAGTTTTCTTTGTTTATCGAGGAAGTGAAAGAATTTATGCAAAAACAAATCTCCACCTAAAAAAAAATTCCTCTTTCTTTCTATTCAGGTGTTTATGTTATATCAGGTTTTTTGTAACGAGGTAATGTTGTGATCCGTTCGTAGTGAAGTTGTTGAGAGTTCAATCTCCCGTTAGGCGTCCTAGCTTTTATCAACTAGCACAATAAGAAAATGTAACCAACTAATTGTATAATATCTTTTGTAAAATAAACTTTAATTGTAAAAGCTGTTATTTCTATTCTAAAATGACGGCTCTCAACAAGATTTTCTTATTGTTCCTGCAGTAATTGATATATATATATATATATATATATATTTGATTTATCGAAAGTTTAATAAACATTCTGAGCTATATAATGAGCATAATCTTTTTTATTATATAATCATTAAAAAAATAAAGTTATTAGAATTTGAATTTTACCTCATTGGAGAAGTTAATTAGGCTTAACTCGTTTGTGTTATATGTACAATTTTTCTAAAATGAAGAAAATAATAATTAGAAAAGTATTTCTGATTGATGGCCAATCTTTAACAATTCAAAACTTTCTTTTTTCTTTAATTTCACTGAAAGCGATAATTGCTTGCAATCGGCATCTATCTGATAAAACGAGTCAAATAGATGCATTGAAAGAAAGTGCTTTTGAAAGCTGACCGTAGGGTCGGTAACTACGCAAGAGTTCTAGAAAAGTCGACTGTGACAAATTATGTACATGAATGCATCGATAAAAATGTCTTAGTCTTTCTTAATCGTCGGAGGAGAAAAAAAACAATACATTTAATGATAATATTAATATAGTATTTTAAATATAATTGATTGTCCTCAGTTTACTTTACTTATTTCATGGATTTTTCCTTTCCCAACCTCTACATCTCTTCTTCTACTTTTACGGCATAGATACCAATTGACTTGTAATTGATAAAAACTCTCTGATTTCATAAGGAAAAGAAAACACCTCAGCATCTCATCTTCTTCCTCCTCCACCCTTTGACCTCAAATAATAATAATAATAATAATAATAAAAAAAAACCTTGTCGATCCTCTTTATTTCTTTTCCATTTCTTTATGACCCTATCACAAACAAAATAAATGCATTATGAATTTGCTGAAAATGTAAAATGTTTTCGCAAGGCTGGGCAAGGTATCTAATTCACTTTGCTCTTTTTTTTATTTATTGAAAACTCCGTAAATTTAATTAGAGTACTGTCAGTTTTATTTTAATTAATTACTCAACTCTTCTTATTTATGTAACCTGAAAAACATCTTTATATATAGAATTTTCTATTTTTATTTATGTTTATGTTTATATAGATTCAATTTATCTATGAAAATTAATTAATTTATCTATTTTATTATTATTATATGCTAATCTATGATTTTTTTTTTTTTCAAATTACTTCACAAATGGATGGAACTCGAAAATAGACCTCACTCAATGTAAGGTTATAGATTACAAGGATGGACATAGATATTTTGACTAAACTAGTGTCCATATCTTATTTTGAAATTCATTAAGGAGAATCTTCCTCTTTCATTGTAAATATTAACCTCGTATCATTGTGAGAGGATTCTAACTTTTGATCTCTATCAAAAAAAATCCTTAAACTCTCCCCCTCAAAGTTCTCTCATTCACACTCCGGATAATACCTAAGATTTTAGCAAATAAGAACACCAATCCTCGCTACTAGCTCAACCACCTACAACAATGATGATACCTTACTTGATCCTAATCACAATATTAACAACACTAGCCTACTTAACTCTAAGAATGACAACAATTCTCTAAACCCTTAAATTGCTAGCAGCAGCTTGCCAACACACTCGAGAGGTGGTCTACCTCGACTCGTGCCTTAGGCCACTTGCCATGACTATTCCATATTCGGGTTTTCGAGTCATGATCGAAGTCTTGAAGATTTTCCAAGATGCTCGGCATAGACTATAACAAGAATAATTACAAATGTTCAAAGTCTTTTAAGACAACAATATTGTATTTACTTACACTCTTAGTAACATGACACAACTACGCCCACGGGCGGAATCCCTTAGACTCGTTATCCCTCTAACTATGGCATTGTTAATTGTTAATGTTGATGATCATCCAATGCCATATGTTCTATCGGATGCTAAGAAAGACATTCTCCTCACCAAACACCTACCATGTGGCTGTACATAACCACTAACCACCTCATTATATTGTTGCTTCTAGTGATTAATACCATTATCTTACCGAGAAGGAATAAAAAAAAATTGAATAGAAATTGATAAAATCTACTAGCAAGTTTGATCTCAAACTTTTTTATTCAACTCACATCATTATGAGAATTTACCCCGAAAGAGTATGTGAGTCCCAAGTTTAATTTTTTCAATAAAAAATAAAAAGATGCTAAGAAACATCTTATAAATTTTGTAAAGACCTTGGGTATTTATCGCTTAGATGATGACTTGAAGCTAAAAGAATTTTTGAAATCCCTAAATGAAAAGGCATACACTTAGTATGTAAACCTAGCCTCCGGTTCGTCCAAACTTAGGCAAATATGTGCAAACTATTTACATAGCAATTTTTCTCTACCTATAAGAATGTGACCATACTCGATTTAGGAAGAGAGAATGAAGGTTCTAGAGAAAGATTGCTAGAGTATATTGAACGGTTATGTGATCATAATCGGGATGTCTAGGATGGTTTTAATGAGAAAAAAGCTATTAAGCCATGTATTCAAGACATGTACAAAGAATACAAGATATATCTTAAGAATTTAAAATTGATCACTTTTTTTATTTTAGTAGAAAGTGCTCGCTAAACTAATAGTTTCATCATCTTCTTAAGAAGGAATGATTTTACGGATGCATATCGAATACAACAAATTTAATTTATTGTTCTTACTATAATTTGGAGTAAGAATAAGTCTAGGTCGAATCTTAGAAACTGGTCAATTAATTTTGTTATATGTAAAAACTAGAAGGTTTTGTTGTTTGCAAAGTCGAATTTAAAGATAGCAAGTACAAAATAAGAGATAATTCAATTTTAAAAAAACTTATGTTCAAGAAAAAATTCAAACATTCAATTTACATATTAATCATTGACACCTAAATTACTATTCTTTTATTGAATACTTAGCTTAGATTTACCTAGATGCTAGAATAAACCCAAATCTTCTTTAAATTTATTAACTCAAAACTTCACGCTCGATTAAATTCTTATTATTGATTGATTTCGATATTGACGTAATCCTAGTCTAATCAACAATAGAATTAAATTACTATTCTTTTATTGAATACTTAGCTTAGATTTACCTAGATGCTATAATAAACCCAATTTTCCTTAAATTCATTAACTCAAAACTTTACGCTCGAATTAAATTCTTATTATTGATTGATTTCGATATTGATGTAATCCTAGTCTAATCAATAATAGAATTAAGAGTTAAAAAGATATTAAGACTAAACAATAATTTTAGGATGCATAAATCATTTAAATCTTCTTTTTATCTTTCTTAGGTAATCAAACCTAATTTACTATTTGTATTAACTTTTCTTAACAATTAGGGATTAAGAGAGTTAGCTAGCAATCAATCACAATAGATAATTAACTAATAGACTTCTTAGATAATTACCTAATCAATCATGATTTATTAAATTCAAAGATAAATTAATTAAGCTTAGAGAAGCAAAAGATACTCAAATCATAAATAACGGATTAAAGATCAAATCTGTCTCACAATCTTTTATAAATTGAAGTTGAAATCACTTGAACTCGAATTGATGACATTAGCTAGACATTATTTGAAAAAATCAACCCTAAGTTATATAAATGAAAAGTATATATAAAGCGTATCCTTTACTATGTAGCCACGAAGGCTATTTATACTTGTAAAGAGATAAATATGACGACTAACAAAGTCTTATTTTAGCTAGTTTCGAAATTGACTAAGACTTATTCGTTGAATAGAACTTTAGGTTATGTTATGAAATTTATGAATTGATTTAGGATCAAAAGGCGGTAGAATATGGACTTAGACTATTCATGAAGATTCTAAGCCTAAATGTACTCTTTATATAGTATTTTGAAATATGCTAACCCAATGTGTATAACTCCGGATGTGGTCTAGACATTAGGAAGTGTTCTCGATTGTTAGAAGATCCGAATTTCTTTCCTAACTTTGCAACCGACTTTAATAGCCTAAAACAAAATGGATTTGTGCATTTAATGTAACACCCCTACCTAAAACCTTATAGGTTGAGAATATTAACATCGTTAACCTACATTCAAAGTATATTGAATGTAAGCGAACAAGACACTCGTGTCTTTCATATGGTGTAGTAGGTATGGGTTATACCGTGGAAGCCTATTAAATAACGAGATAAGTCTTAAGTTTCAGCCCAAAATAAGTTGTTAAATTTTTTTATTTTTTCATTTTATTTTAATAGTTTGGATTGAATTGACTGGATTTTTGACGCTCAATTTTGTCAAATTCTTTTTCTATAAGTCTCTAGAAATTTACTTTACTATTACCTATTATTCGATAATTAATCCGTTTTACCTTCATTAATTGTCATTTATTATAATTAATTTCTTATCATTTCATGGCCACATTTTATTATCTATGATAGAATATAAGTAATTAATTAAAAGAAAACTACCACTACTTATTACTATACTAATACATATCCATGTTTTACATATTAACTAACTTTGAGCTACCCTACTACAAAAGTGGCTTATTTATTTACATCAATTTTCTCATTTTCAACTAACCATCTACTTACTCATGAATTTTACTATCGTATAGAACATAAATGTCGTACCTAGTACATAAACTAAAATATCGATCACTAATAAAGTAACGAATGTGCGGGAGGTCTAGCTTACATCCAAAAGTAAGTACACATGACGAACTCGTTGAAAGTGATCCTTTGGTAATTAGCTCACAAGAAAACATCGCCATCTTTCTTACTTTTAGTTCCTACATCATAACTAAATGAGCGAGTTACTCGGTAAGTTAATTATGCATGACATTTATGTATT